TATTGGTGTTCACAAGATATTTTAACTGGGGCACATAGACTGTTTTTCTGATTCGAAGATCAATCTAAGACTAAAAAACCGAAAGGATGAACAGAATGCACAAGAATCAGTACTCCAAAAGCCTGAACACGATTGATGATAAGTGCCTCGGGTTGTAAACGGTCACCTTTCCCTTGAACCTCGCGAAATGCTCCTATACGACCAAGCGGCTCAAACGGCTTCCGCTGAGGAAACCCACTCACGTGGCGGAGGTGTTTTCTCACCAAAGTGAGAGAACGAAAAACGGCCCAGTTCGAGATAACTTGTCTAGAGGAACGGAATAACCGTGATTTGAAACCACCCACGATAATGAACTGACCCTCAAATTCCAGGATGCACGATCAACGGATAAATTGGGCGATGGAATACTCTGAGCATGCTCAACACGAAAGCCTTGATTGAAATGTGTATAATCTGACTGACTGGTCCGCAATAAACCACGGACTCAGAACACTGTTTTGTGAGTTCGAATCCTCTCACCCGGAGGCTCGGAGTGAGGTTCCTCAAATGGACCTTCAGCNTAGTGAAATTAAAATGGGAAGGTGCACCGATTTCACACACAACCAGTATCCACTTTCAGATCATCCCGTATTCTGTTATGCACGTTGTTGGCGTGGTTAATACAATTTGAATGATAAAAGTAGCTTAGGAGAGTTACTTGTCAAACCAATTCGGGCACTAGAAAGAGGCGAATAAAAGAAAAANAGAAAAACAGAGTGCGAGGAAACTAGGGGACACAACCGAAAATGTGCCCTACGACACAGTTCGTGTCATCCAACGGTGATTTGAGTAATCCAACGTGTTTGCGTTTCATGTACTGCCGACTGGAGTGTTGAGAAGCCCCCCCCCCCTCCAAATCAGACTGCACAAACGGTTGAGGAACTTTTCCTACAACGACCAACATGTCAGGTACTGATCAAATGCAAATTTTTATTATGGGTTAATCACAAAGCTGATGCTTACTTAATCCCATAGGGTCTGTAGACAATGGGTTCGGTTGGTAGTACCATTTAATTAGCAAATTCTGACGTTCACTCACGGGTACTGAATGGCTAGGTGGTTCAATGCTTCATCCAGTCGTGACTTGAAAAAATCGATGGTTGGTGCACAAACAACAACTTCCAGGTGTTACAAACTCTGAGGCTGAAAGAATACCGCTTGCAGTCGAGCCGGCTCTTTTGGAGCAGAAGTTTAAACGGATGTCCTCGGAGGTGACCATTCCTGGATAGCGTTAGTGGAGTACTACACGGGTGGTTAGGTTGATGTAGTATTTGATATACGAGGATTATGTCTCCTCGTATTCGACGGTATTCAGACGAATGGAGTCCGAGAATTCGCAGCGTTTCACCGTAGGTCTTAGATTGCAACCCTTTGACCATTTTGGTTGCTGTTCTTTGCGGACGTTCGAGTGTCTTTTGGTCGCGAATCAGCCATGGATTCCAAGCCTGTGTAGCATACTCGGTGTGTGGTCTAATGTATGCTGATAATAAACGGGGCAATAGGTCTGTTTCGAATGATCCAAAAACACGTTTTAACAATCCAATGTGAACACGTTGGATTGCTAACACGTGTTGGAAGCAATCTGATACGGAAAAACAGCCCGAAAAACTAAACACAACTAAGGATTTCGAGTGCCTGACAAGCATACAAACTGTGTAACGCAGAGTCTGCGCACCGAAACATGAGCGAGAGAAGAGTGCACGGCGATGGATGCATCATCGATGAGGAAGTTTACTAAAAACAACGAACAGCGGTTTACCTTCAGGAAAGTGATTTGTGGTTAGATGCGCCGATAAATCTGCTCGACCGGAGCACATATGAGCACAACCATCCATAGGACAAGCGATAGAGTCAGTTTTCGAATAGGTCAAAGCTCGAATTCCGCTCATCCATTCGCGCCGTTTTGAGTCTGACTCGTCCAAATCAAATCCACAACTCGGACAGGTCACTTCCGTGGTGCTACTACCGACCGAATCGGGAACGTCACTTTCAGACAGATGGTTACTTGTCTCACTCGGGGCCACGTTCACATTTCCATCTGGTGGCCAAACAATGTGAGGAGTCATGGGTGCAGTTCGACCAGGTGCAGTCGTACCGGAAGAAGAACGCAACTCGGACGAGTGCCATAGACGGTTGTTACATGTGCTCGTTCTCTCTCCTTGGGACCGTTGAGGCGAATCAACGGAATCCGCCGGACTGCACACACTGCCACTCATGGAACGAAGACGAGGCACACGAAACGGTGAGCCACAACCATTCGACAAAGAGGTTGCGTTTGAGACATCAGCATTGTCTCCAGTCTCAGCGAGGCCAAAAAATTGAGGAAAGTTATGCGAGATCGATGTGGACCGGACGAGGTTGGGCCGCCCAGTATGGAGGGACAGTTCTGAAGAAGAAGAATCAGGGAGCAGGATTAGTACGATGAGATAGGAAGTTAACTACATGGTAACTACCTGCAGCAACGTGACAACTCAATCCAGAGAATGCGGAACCTGCTTAACTGAATATCAACTTCTAGAGAATGAATTTATTACCAAACCCAGTGTGATTAGTTGCAAAAAGTTGTTCATAGGGTAACAGGGACCATGTGTTCGATAGTGGCAATCACCAGTCGCTTGGTTCTATACCACGACTGAGCTAGCTGAATTCGATGCGATAGTGAGCCCAAGTTCGATGTATTCCCACACAACCGACGATTTACTTTCCTGCTTACCTGCTTACTCCATTCAAACTCGGCCAGACTACGTAAGCATTATTGTCGAAAACCATTAGGTGGTGGATGTCTTCCACCCGCAAGTTTGAGGTCTCACAACCGTTAAGCGGAACTGATCGTACAGTGGTGCAGTATACGCGACTGTTCAACAGTGAAACGTCACGTTTTCGCCACAGACGGTTTGCTCCTGCGTATGCTGCTCAAGCCTCGGAACTGCGGACGGCTATCTCCTTTGATGCGCTACCGTTGTTGGTTACGCAACTACCCAAGTAAAATTCATCTGGTTTCTGACAATCGTTTCAGAACAGGTCTCGGCGACACCCAGTCTCGCAACATCAATTTGCACTTTAAAGATGCCAAGCGCATACCGAACGGAGCGACAGAACTAGTTATTCTGTCAAGTGTGCTTTGCGCGTCCTCCATATGTTCAAAAAGACACGACATTATCAGCGTACTCTAAGTAGCGCAGCTTTTCGTAAGTCCTGGGTTGTGAAATGGTGAGTTAGATGAAGCTACACAGTGGGTAGGTGCAATCTTGAGTCGAGGAGGCATAATTTCGCATGCGTAGACTCTAATATTTTCTGAAAAAAACTATGATGCATAGAAAACATTAAGAATAAGCAGCACGAGCACTCTTAATGAGTGAGCGGAACCAGCCACACGCACAAGAGAAATAGGCTTTAGAAGTCGGGTGGGCGAAGGATATGCGAAAACCGATTCCTCCTTCTCACCCGGCCCAAATAACCCAAAAACCGGTTAAGTTCTGAAGTGACTGTTTGTTAGACGGACAAATCGATCCATTGACTGATCTCCATCCATTTGCTTTCAAGCAGGAAATGATGGGTGAGCGAGCGAATGAACGAGTGAGAGATCTTGTATGGGCGGGCATAAACACATGATCCGTTTCGTGTAGAAAATCCAGAGCTCACTACCGTGTACGCGTGTTGGAAGAGTGTATCTATGGACGAATGAAGGTGGATCAGGAACCAACAATTGCATAAGTTGCAGTAGATCTATCTTACCTTGGTTATTAACCTCATTCAATCGTATGATGCCCAGATTTCAAACTGTTGAAATTTTCAGGATTTTATTCAGCTCCTCAAATGTACTATCAGAAGCACAACACGAGTGTGCAGGGTTGCATGTTGTCTGAAACGTACCGATTCGGACAAATGCACGAGAACCTCCAATTTGATTATACGCTTATGCGTGCAGTAGTAGTAGCAGTAAGTTATAATCCTAAAAAGCATGCATAAATCAGTACATAATCCTTCATATATATATATATATATATACCGGCTTGAAAACAAGTATGGTGCCAGCGCCACAACAATATTAACAGTACCAATAACGGGAGGAGGTGAGGATACAGTGCATAGGGAAAAGACGTAACTAATAGAATGAAAGATTACAAATGGAATAACAAATTCTCTGCGTTTCACCGTATACTTTTTGATATTTTTGTTGTTTGTTGTTTTTACGGAGCACGGTGTTTTGACAGGTAAACCGTGCAGCATTCGCGCCACTGACTTCTATTCTGGGCTATATCTATCAGCGTATCTAACCAACGACAATCCTCATCCCTTGGGTCCCAACTTGGAAGGCGGACTGAACCAACCGAAGCCAGCTTCTTCAAGACCTCTAAGCAGTGTCATGGTCTGACCTCCGCGGCACTTCTTCGAGCCTTCCCCGGCACGTGCAAAGACAGCACGGAAAGGTAGTCGATGGGCAGGCATACGCATACGTGACCAAGCCATCAGAGGCGGTGTGGAGCGATTACTTCTGTTGGAGAACCACTATCCACACCCAACACACGACGACGAACCTCGTCATTGCTCACCCGATGTTCCCACCAGGCACGAGCAATGCTTCGGAGACATCGGTGGTCGAATACAGGAAGTCGATTAGCATCCTCAACGCGGAGGGGCCAGGTCTCGCAACCGTAAAGTAGAACGCTACGAACCACGGCGATGTAAACCCTTCCCTTAAGGGACAGTCGGATGTCATGGCGGCGCCACAGGTGTCGTAGGTTGGTAAAAGCTGCCCTAGCTTTCGCTATTCGTGATATGATTTATTTACCACCACCACCAGCTGCGATCAAGCTCCCGAGATACGTAAAGCTCGCGACCATTTCCAGCTGATCACCACAGAGGGTGAATGCAGGCACAAGCTCCTGCCAGTCTTGAACAAGCAATCTGCACTTGGAATATCTGGATACCTCTATCGCCAAGCTGTTCAAAGCATTTTGGACTGCCTGTGTATTGTCACCCAACAATTCGATGTCAACGGCATATTTCAAGTCAAGGACTCTGTTCCCTGGGAGGAGTTCGACTCCACCGTTTGCTAGACCGGACAAAGCATTCTGTAGAACATCCTCTATGACANATGACAAAGTTGAAAAGGAATGGGGATATAGGGCAGCCTTGCCGAACTCCACTGGAGACGGCGAAGGGTGGTAAAAGCTGACCATAAGCCCTAAACCGACCCGAGGTATGGCGACACAACTCTTTGAGGATCGACATACATACTTCTCTGGTACTCTACTCATCAACAAACACCTCTATAGTGCGGTCCTATTACCAGAATTGAAGGGCCGTGCGAATGTCTAAGAACACAATGATTGTTGGTCTACGGTAAGCATGACGGTACTAAAGCAACTGTCGGAGGGTGAAGATTTGATCGACGCAGCCACGATCGGCACGAAACCCAGCCTGCTCCTCACGGGAATGTTCCTCGCGCGTTTTGTACAATCTACGAACAATGTTTCAGTTTTCAGTTTGAATAACCATTAACCATGCACTTTCGTGCGCCGGTTTTGGTTGCTGTCT